GACGCAGGCGAACGGGACGGCGCTGAGTCAGCCGCAGGAGTTGAGTCTCTACTCGGTCCCCAGCCTTGATACCTTCGATACCATGTGTGGCACTACGAACGCAAGTGCCTATGCAGATGGTGGTGGCTAGGTTACAGTTTTGGATGTTCTTGACTCTTTTGCTCTTTGATGTAGGCCAGTCGGTGTCTGAAGCAACTTGAAAAAGCCCTGCGGGAACAGGTCAGAAGGAGTGCGCGGGGAAGTTCTTGCCGGGGACGCACGACACGGACTTTGAGAAGTGCATGCAGGCAATAGACTGCATGATGAACAAGGAGATGCGTGTCGTGGGCTTTGACAGCCACCAGAGTCACATCGTCACGTTCATGCAGCAAATGATACCTCATCATGCTAATGCAGTCAACATGGCCAAGATCTTGCTTAAGCACGCGGAGACTGAAGTGGCAGCGGTAGAGGACTTGGAGGACATCATGTGGGGCATGATAAATGTCCAAACCTTCCAGATCCACGAGATGCGCAATTACCTGGCAAGTCATACTGCCTATGGTGACACCATCCATGACGGGGTTCCCTTGCTTGCCACTTCAGTAGGTGAGCACTGTGAATCGACCCTCGATGTGGATGTTGTGATCCCGACGCAGTCGCAGAACCTCAGCCCAACGACCGCAGTGTCAGGCTGCACGCCCTCGGATACCATGCTTTGCTTGAAGGTGGGAGCAGTGAGTCTGCCTAATGATGGGTCATTATTTCTGCACTGTAGAATTCTATCGGGTGCTTTTCGTGTAAGGCCTCCAGTGGAGGAATCCCAAGAAACCACCCGGAAAAGTATGGAAAAGTTACATTCTGTTTGTGGCAGCCCGAAGGTGAACCTCTTGGCCAGTGAGACCGGGTACTACGAGTTCGCGGGGCACACGGGCCCGTCTCCTGACATTGAGGTGCGCATCGGTCAAACCTACACCTTCGACCAGACGGATCCCAGCAACTGGTACCATGCCATAGGGTTTGCCTATTACCCGGACGGAGCCCATGGTGAGACCTGGGGAGGCGAGGAGCGTGCTGAGGTTGAGGGAAAGGGCGAGCTGCTGTACAAGATCGATGGTGCCGCGACGACGTGTCCAGATGCCGGTGACACGGGCTTGGACTGCTATGAGCCGGAGTTCTTCTATCCTCGCGCAGACTGGATGTCCAAGA